AGAGGTAGGCAACCTATGGCACTAGTGGTGTCTTTGCACGGCACTCAAGGCTGCTAGAGCCAAACAGGCTGTGGCCTATCAGGAGTCCCAGTGAAACTTCAGATATCTGCTAATATGAACAGGTGGTGAAGCTGTCTCTTGGTGCTCCTCCTACCTCACCCAGCACTATTTTAGTATTTCTTTCTCTGTTTCTGCCTCTTCCTCCTAACCTCTCTCTGTTGGTGTCCCCCAAGGCTTAGTCCTTGGTCCCCTACTGTTCTCGATCTACACTACCTTCCCTTGGTAAACTCATCAACTCCTTTGGCTTCCAATATCACTTCTATGCAGATGACACGCAAATCTATCTGTCCTCCCCTGATCTCTCCCCGCCCCTCTTGACTAGTGTCTCTTACTGCCTCTCTGCTATTTCTAACTGGATGGCTGCCCACTTCCTTAAACTCAACTTGTTCAAAACAAAACTTCTGGTCTTTCTTCCCTCAAGTGTTGCTACTCCTGTCTCCCTCCACGTTAATGGTGCTACCATTAGCTTCACCACGCAGGCTCGCTGCCTAAGTGTTCTCTTTGACTCCGACCTCTCCTTCACCCATCATGTCCAGTCGATCGCCAAATCCTGCTGCTTTGACTCCGACCTCTCCTTCACCCATCATGTCCAGTCGATCGCCAAATCCTGCCACTTCCATCTCAAAAACATTGCGTGCATCTGCACCTTCTTAACACCAGATGCAGCTAAGGTGCTGGTCCATGCCACTGTCCTCTCTCGCCTTGACTACTGCAATCCACTTCTCAGTGGTCTTACATACTTCCAACTTGCCCCATTGCAGTTTATAATGACTGCGGCGCCCGCACCTCCCATGTCTCACCCCTCTGTCAGTCCCTGCATTGGCTTTCCGTAAGATATAGGGCTCATTATAAAATTCTGGTTCTTGCTACTTCCACCTATCTATCCTCACTAATACACAAGTATGTCCCGTCTAGACCCCTTCGCTCTGCCGAAGACCTGCGCCTATCCTCTGTTTGTACTCCCACCTCTGATGCTCGCATTCTCTAGGGCTACACGTTCCTGTGGAACTCCCTTCTCTTCTCCGTTAGACGCTCACTCAGTCTCCACTACTTCAAAAACGCACTTTTTCACAAAAGCATATGAATTAAACTGTTGGCTACTAAATGGCTACAAAAAAACAAAACACTGTCTTCAGTGAATACTATTCTACCTATCTACTTCCCTAATACTTACCTTACCTTTTGTGTCACTATACCCCACACCCTCTAGCATGTAAGCTCATTGAGCAGGGCCCTCAACCCCTCTGTTTCTGTTCGTCAAACTTGTCTGGTTACAATTACATGTTTGTTAGTCCACCCATTGTAAAGCGCTATGGAATTTGTTGGCGTTATATAAATATTAATAATAATAATAATAAAAGGACAATCCTCAATTTATGCATTGCAGCACGTAGAGGAAGTG